CTCTGGTGTATTGAGCTACAGGTGCCAAGCCCATGACCTCTTTTATGAAACAGCTTGTGTGGCAAAGTGAAAGGTGGCCTGGAAGTGGGAAAGCAGGGAACCTGTGAGGTTTGTGCCATGGCCCGGGCAAGAGATGCCCAGCAGCGCAGTAAAGATAGTCAGATGGCCAGGGGAGAGGGGACCAGCATTTTAGCACAGATCAGCAGCCAGAACTTGGCTGGGTGCCGTGGGAGGGAAGTTCTCACATATCATCTGCCTGTCAGAGTGGATCAATGAGGGCATTAGGCCTGGAGGCCAGGTGACCTGAAGCTACAAACGGAGTCCCCTCACAGCATGGACGTGAGACTATCCAGAAGCTCAAATCTACTACTTGAGGAAGGTGGTGAGTACAAGAGGAATTCAGGGAGAAAGGCTCGGGTTTGAGTAACTGGTAGCTGTTGCTGCCATTAAACCTCAGGGGAAAGGAGCAGGTGTGGGCTTGGTTTTGGACTGGCTGCCTGCTATTCCGGCAGGACCTCCAGCTGAAAGAGGCCAGGACAAGTTGGAGGTTACGGAAAGTGGTTAGAGCCAGAGGGCTTAGGGTCATAGAGGATATATAACCACAAACCCACCCAAATCCTTGCCCCCAAGGGAGTGCTCACAGCAGGGCTCCCGGGCTGGTTCAAACCACACTGCCTTTGATAAAATACAGGTCTCCCATACCTGCCCTCCCTAAATTTGTACTGACTTTTATTTTGTAAATCAGAAAGTAAATTTTTTCTCCATATATACCAATTATATGACATTGAACATTTTTTTCTTTCGTATTACTCTTGCCTCCCTCTTGCCATCTAACCCTGTCAAAGATGCTGGTTTATAGCACATAGGCACAAGCTTCTTGTTCTGTGTGTGACTCAAGTTTTCAGAGGTGATGTCCTTAGATAGGGCAAACAGGGCCCAATAGCTTGACAGTCTTATTCCAGTAACAAATATAGATAAAATTCAAGGTCACCAAAGTTCTTTACATCCAGAAATCAGAGTCCTCAGCTCTTGAGGTATGGTTAGTCGAATAGTACCGTCAAAAGAGACAAGGAACAATTTCTCTGAAATAGCCACTGTGGCTGTCTAA